TTATCTTTTAATATTATTTTACTTTTGATTTGATTACGTCAATTGTTAACGATTATGGATTTGCAAAATGCGGTGCTATACTTTTCGATTTTTAATTATGTATTTCCAATGGAAACTAACATTTTAACGTATCAACAACAAGAACAAAATGATTGGAATATTGATTTCATAATTTCAATTTTAGGAATTGTGAAATTAGTGTCCCGTTCTCGGGACTTCCTGTTTCATTTCAAGTTCATTCCAGTTTAGAACACATTTCTGGTTGTAGAGGTAAACAATGACTGTAAATTGTTTTATGGGTGGTATAATAGTTTAGAGACCTAAATATTTGTCAGAATAAAAACTAAATAGATGCAGACAAGGAAGGTCTTCCAGTATATTTCTTCTTTATAAAAGTAACTAAGTAAAAAGGAAGGTTGTATTTTTAAAGTAAACGTAAGGAAACAAAATGAAAATATACATGCGCGGGAAATCTCTGCTTTCGCTTTTCAATACCAAGCAAAATTAAATTGCGGAGAGAAAAAACTGAAATAATATTTTCAAATCGATTCTTTTAAGAACGTACAATTCTTTCTTGTGTCATTTGAAATGGATTTATTAATTTGCGTGTTAAATAGCGCCTCGAGTTAAGTTTTGCCAGCTCTGCAGTTCTCATATGCGAACTTGGCAAGGTGCCATCCCGGCCAGTGCCAGTTCGCACGTTCGCGATGGAAGTGGAAAAAGAGAAACGAGGGGTCGCTGAAATGGAAAGTTTTGCAATATCTGCCAGAGGGAGGTGGAGAACAGTGGCAACATCTCAAACGGAATGACAATACAAATATTACAGACATTAATATGGTTCCAGAAGTTCATAATACTATTTTGTTCTTATAAAGTACACAATATACTACGACGACAGGTGAATTCTAATAACAAACTGAGGCTAATAAGAGTAAACTCCAACCGAGGGAAGAAACTTGAGGGTCAGGTAAGATGCAGGTACAATGAAGGTTATCAATGGAGAATAACGTGTAGCCAATTTCAGAAAATGTAGAGGATTAAATTCAATTTGAAAACAGAAACGAACAAACTATAGTACTGAAGATACACAGGTAAAAATAGATAAGAAAATACAGAAAGGATGGAAAGTCTATATAGACTCTAGGCAGAAGAGAAGTAAGTATTGATGAATTTAACAATAAACATAAGTCAAATTATCGTCGATCAGTTTGTCTAAAATAACGACGCGGGAAAGGAAATTTGGAATGGATATTCTTCTTAGATACTTCAGATTCTGCGCTTACATAAACGATTAACTTCATCTTGTGACGTATACAAACCAATCTTAATGTTAACGATTCTTCTATTGCATTTGGCCTTAGTGAGTCAAATGCAAGCAAACTTGGATGATTTTTGTAGTTGAAACTCTGTGAGTGGCTTCTGAGTGATGAATGCCTTCTGATTTGTACGCGCAGGCGAGGAGAGAGAACTCAGAACCGTATGTCGTCCCCTTTCTGCGGCAGATAATCATAATAGTCTATTAATTTTCCCTCGTATTGAATCAAAGATGGTAAAACATTAGGAGTTCACTAACCATTATGACAGAAGAATATTTAGGAGTAGTCAAGTGTGAAAACAATGGTATGAGGCTCCAACATCATTGTATGAAAACATTCATGCGTTAAATGAAATTCTAACTCGCAACCTCAGACTCTGCATACTTCGTTGATTCTCCAAAGCCCCTATACTACTGAAGTCGGAAGAAATTCCGCAAACAGCTTCGTAAATTTTTCAAATTTGTTTCCATATTTCGTCGGAGCGTTCGACGCAGAGGAGGCGCACAGATTCCTGGCGCGGCGTGGCACTGCAGCGCCGGTTCGGGAATAGGTTAAGGTCGTTGGAGCGCTCGCTCGGGCACCGCGGACGCCGTGCCCACCTCCACTTCCACGCCCCGAGGAGTGGCCTTTGCTCTTTGCAGTTGTAGTAGGTGACAAAGCGCAGCGTGGGTACGCAAACTTAAAAAAAGAAGTTTTCATCTCTGCTACTACAATCAAGATTATACACTGCAGAATTTATATAATGACTCTTACTGTGTAAGTTTAAATGTAGTGGGATATACAAAGAGAAAAATACTCTCATATTTGTTACTTCTGATAATTTTTTAAATTAAAATACTAGTTATCATAAGTAATATCACGAGCACATGGGCATGAGTTAGGTTGTGACGAGTGGGTTTATCTAGAATTTCCCATGCATGAGAGTATGAGAATTTTAGAAAATTAATATACTAGTAAACTCCCCCAAAAGGACTGATACAACATACATGACAAATTTATGAAACAACATATTGCGCGATTCACGTACCAGTAATGATGAGACGACTTAATACCAATTCCTACTGGAATTATTTTATCAAAGACAACGGAAGATTACAGATAAAATCAATTCTACAACGTCTTGTTAACATGCCTTATTGTCAATACAATCGAGACTGCAATTTCAAGAAATATTAAAATAACATCAAAGTAATTAAACGGTTACTACAAACTCATTTATTGAAATTACAGGAAGTTTTCTTTATTGCTCTTATCATAATTGACGTAAGACTAAATACCGACGGTGAAGAAATGGACGTGGACGAGAATTTTGCAGTTCATCCACTATTGCCGAATAATATTATTTGTTTATCTGAAGACAAGGTTTCAACAGTAGCGGCTCGTGATCAAATGTTGAGGGTATGCAAAACGGTCATTTGCGAAAACTGTCGGACCTAAGGGAGGGGTGGAGGGGGAAACGGAAGCCATGCCTCTCCTGGATTAAAAGTTTTCTGTTCTTTTTATTTTACTTACCTATTCAAAAAATTGTCACGTGTTTATCACATCGCATTTCAAAGGAATAATCCCCAGTTATCATAAGCGGGAGTAAATTCAAGAATAAATTTCCATTTCAAACAGTGGTAATTTTCCGTGAACAAAATCAATGGTTTGACGAAGAGACCGAAATGAAATTTGCTCCCTTCTGAAACACTTTCCGGATCTATCCCGTTTTTTTAGAATTGTTTTTTCTCGCTAGCACATCTAACAACATATGAATGATCGACAATTATCCAATATCTGTCGTTTATTTGCATTTCTGACAATACGGTACGCCAACTAGGCCACTTCCCAACATACCTACCATACACGCACACAAGCCATTGCAGGAAGAGAGGACACAATTTGCGCGGGCTCATGTAAAGAAGAGCTTGAAATAAATAAATAAAACTCGTAATCACTTTTTCATTTTATATTTCCTGATGTTCATGGGAATAATTTAACTTTTATTATATCTGAAATGTAGCAAACTAGAAGATATTCTTCAGAGCAGGCATTGCATATCGTGCCTAACCGCACGACTCGCTACTCTGATTCAATGCTGTTGAATACACAGTTGCAATATAGATTGGTAATAATTAACTTTTAACAACGACAATACTGTATGGAAGAAATATGAATTTATGGTAACTGCCATATAAAAGCAACAAGACAATCCACAAAATTGCTACCAAGGTAAATATCGAGTCTCTTTTTGGCATACTCATTTTGTTGCAGCGTCAACTATTTAATATATTTGCATTTCATATTTCATATATTAAGTACCAAATGTTTATTGATGAGTATTACATTTTTTCGTTTACATGGTGGCAACCGTACCAAATGAAAAGAGAGGACAGACCTGAAGTGTTATACATACTATGCGACTTATTCTACGATGGCCATCAACCAACACTTGAGTTTTCTTACCGATATAACGATACCAACAAATCCGTGGTATCGAGCATACTCTGGCAAGCTGAATCTCCATCTAAACCATGCTGCTGACGTAATGACAACTAAAAGGCATTGGAGAATGTAGTCCTCGCAATTGCAGACTGAAACTGATTTATAACTCGACAAAAATTATAAGGATATATTTTTGCCAAAATGTGATGCCGAGCACTTGACTTGAGTTAGTTGAGACGACAGATGGCGAGTCGCGAGTAGCTCGTGTTGGCTATGCGCTGGCGCCGCCGCAAGGCACGTGTAGAAAGGGGGTGGAAGGTACGTAGCTCCGTCAAACGCCTCATAGTGAGGAACTGCATATTGTCTATAATTATGTAAACAAACTGTACAAACAGCTCACTCGTGTTTGTGTTCTTGCGGCGAATGTCCCTACCCACGACGCCATATGTCGACGTGCGCGGCAAGTGCAACGCGAGCCCCTGCGCCGCATAGGTGCACCCGCACGCACGCGTGCGTGGCGGGCACGCTGCCCCTGGCGGGCGCAGGGCCGGCGAACAAATAATCACTTTTGCAATGATTCAAAACTCTCTGAGCGATTTGCCAACGAATTACCCACCGGTGTTCACGAGGAAGTTGTCTCAAAAAACCTGCTAACAGAGGGATTTAATAACCTATGTTTATTAATAAAGAGTAGATTGTAATACCGAAATACATTTGGTTCCTATTTCATATTGCGTATGATAAAGTTAATGAGAAAATTTAGCCAGAGTTGTACTCATTATGTCTCTAAGGTATTGTTCGTTTCTGTGGCACAGACGGTGAATATACTAATTGGAGGCGACGTTCAGAGGTTATTAACTGGTGCAATTGCTTTTTACTTAAGCAACGTTGTGTGTACTCTTAACGTTGTCTCCTCCGTTTAGTATCGAATAAAATAACCGACAGGGGAAGTAATTTGCAGATTGCTTTTGTAGTACCTATTTTTAATACTGGGAATTTTTTTTTATTCTTCTAATTAATTTCCCAGATAATTTGCTAAACTTTCCTTACGAAAGATCACATCTATTCAGTAAGTTCTAATCAAAATAAAATGTTATTTTTACCAACATTGACATGCACTTCAAAACCACTACTATCAAAACATAAGATAACCAGGGAGAGAAAGAACAAATTCAAACAAATTTACGAATAAATAGGAAAAGTAAATTATTTGTTCAGGAGCTATTTAAGAGGCTAAATCATTGCAAGATAATAATGCATTGGTAAGAAAATATTTATTTCTATGAGTACAATTTAATATTACAAATTACTAAACTACAAAAAGTTTGAACTTTTACTGACAAGGAGAATTCAACCATAATCAACCATTATCGTAGACACTCGGTAAGACATACGTGGTCAGGATAGTAGCCGAAAATACTGTGACTGGAAACCAAATACACAAATTACATTAGCTAATAATAAACTTAAGGCAGAAAAAGTTACCTTCTTTGTCCTACAGACATTACCAATAGCATACAAAACCCGTTACGTAAAAAATACAAGAGATTTAGTGAAAAATGGGAAAACTAGGAAATACATTAATATAATTGAATGGATATAATTAATAATCATTGTTACAGTAGGTAGAAAAGAAAAGATGCCAAAAATCTGGGAAAGAAGAGCAAATTCTTAAAATAAGCGAATTACGATGTGGGTAATTAAAAAACATTAAAGATTACTTGTGTTGTTTTTCAACAAATTCCTTCCATATTTGTAAATTCTGAGTTGTGAAACGCAGTAAATCCACATCAATTATTTTGATTATACAACAGTATTAAAGCCATTATATATAGTGGTTATGGAAAAGTGATTTTAAAGAATTATAAAAGCACGTAACAGTATATTCTGGTTAAACAGAGCATTGATTAATGAGAGAAGACCCTTAAATGAAGCACATCTTTTAGAAACGAAACGCACGAAATAAATCTTTACTGATCCGGAACGTGATGTCTTTCAACATGTTTCGTTTCTTTTTTGGGGGTAGTATAACGGTAGTATAACATTGGTTTTTGTATATAGAATGAGGTTTTGATTTATATAATTCTTGATACATATAATATATGTACATATAACGTATGTACAGTGCAATAAGCCATTGAAAGGTTTCTAGTTCCTGGAGTGCACTCCTTAAGAGTGTCTCCGAGTGTAGACATTTATCATTTAGCAAATTTATTAGCTATACAAATATGCATCAATTATTGCAATACATACTTCTGTGATGATTCGTATTTGTTTTGTTTAATTTTTTACAATTACGATTTGAATTAAGAAAAAACATTGACACTACATAACATTCTTAAGGCTTCATTAATAAAAGAATGCACAAGAACGCTTAAAGCTTTCTTTGAAGTATTCTTCCAGGTAGAAAGTATGGCTTATAAAATATACGCCATCGACAGCATAACTAAAGAAGTGTTTTTACAAAAAGCGTTGCGTTTTCTTTGATATGCCAAGAGAGACGCAATAGTGTACGCCGAACTGAACGAACATACATGCGAGTTGTGTCAATGAAGACTTCCCGAAAGCCGGCGTTTGCCATGGGGACGTACCTGCGGCTAGGCGCGTGCTTCGAAGAGCAGGCGGTGCGGCTTGGGCGCCAGGGTGATGCCGCACTGGCCCTCCAGGTCGGGCTGCGGGCCGCCGGGCGCCGTCGACACCTTGAAGGCGTGCAGCACCGTGCCCCCGAACAGCAGCAGCAGCATGTTTGCCATCGTCTCGCCCACGCACATGCGCTTGCCTGCGCACCCATTTCAACGCTTCCTTACATCTGCGTCGAAAATATAGTGCTGGTACGATTCTATAGGATACTGTATTTAAATTTTATTTGTTTGACGGCGAATAATATCGTATCAAAATACCCACATTTTATAGATATTAAGTAAATATTGTACAACAGTTAGTGAATAGTCGTCAAATACGCAAGTAATTTTTACCATGACATTGAAAAAACCTAACGACCGAGAAACAGAGATAAATTATTCAGTTCAACTTAACGAAGATTCCTACCAAAGCCAACACCTCAAAAATAATTATCCGTATTTTACAGCAGCGGGAATTCGACATTCCTGTGTTTTAAAACTCCAGTACTCTATTGCACTCCTTATATTAGTGTATCTTGAACTGTTGGCCTCTTGTCGTAAAACGACTTTCAAATTCTGGTAAATTGATTTTTTTTCAAATAACGCACTAAGCGTATATTCAGAAAGCACGAAACTAAATGGAGAACAAATTTGGAGTTTCACAGAATCCTATTACTTTCTCTGCCGCAACGAGAAGCGCTCACCGGCCTGGAAGGGCATGAAGGCGGCGGGCCGCACGAAGCGGCCGTCGTCCGCCAGGAAGCGCTGCGGCCGGAAGCGCTCGGGCTCCGGGAAGTGGCGCTCGTCCATGTGCACCGCCCACAGCAGCGGCAGCAGCATAGTGCCGGCCGGCAGCGTCCACTCGCCCAGACGCACCTCCTGCGCGCCGCACCGATAACCACAAAGTCATAACAAACGGACGGCGGCACAGAGCTCGCGATTTCTGTTCACTGGAGATAGATTATTTTTTGCTCGAGGACAAATGAGGAACGAGAAAACTGGTGCACAGAATAACCCGTCAATTCCCATTATTTTAATGGTGTGGGTAAAGTGTTGCATCTTTTTAAGCTAGTGATCGGTGTATATCAAATTATTAGTGAACCCCAAAGTATTTTCTGAAGAAATTTAATTTATGGCAATATTACAAGGTGAATCATGCCACCACATAAGAAATAGATTTAAGAAAAAGAAAACATTTATTCTTCTTTTATCTAAGTTCCGTATAAATTCGATTGTGGGAGGTTCAATAACAGGTCCCACTTACCTAGCTGAATTTGGGATTTGAATATTTAAATTGAATTTAAATATTTTGTTATACAATAGAAAACAATATTTTTTGTTTACTATTCTCTGAAGTTTCATTCCATGTCCATTTATAGACTAAAAAATTAAATATTAGGGCATAAAAGAAATTTCACGGCCAACACCAATCAAAGTCATCACGTGAAATCATTATCATTTACAAGTACTACATGAAAGCGCCTGAAATATGGTATAATATACTTTTTAAATACATCTTAGAGCTCCCAGACTTTTCGATTACAAAAAAGAATTGTACGAATAATAAGCAAATTCCAACCACGTAATTCTTGTAGGCCACTCTTTATTAATCTAGGTATTTTACCATTACCTTGTCTCTTGATATATGAATTATTGGCTTTTATCAACATTTACATTTTCAAAACTCCTATGTCTATAACCACAACACTCGACGTAGTAATCATATCAGGTAACAGTATTAACAGCTCACTTCAAAAAAATCACATAAAATACATGCACATTATTTTACGACATCTTATCAGATGACATTAAACGATTAACTTTTATGCAAAAGTTTGTCCCAAGTAAAATCTTCTCTGCTGCACAACTGTTTCTGTACAATTAGACCACTTGTTTGGCTTCTGGGCATAAATGTAACTTCAATTTAACTTATCCCCACCTTCTCCCCTTTTTGACGTAAATAAATACATAAATCAAGTTTTAACAAGTGGGAAATGAAACTATACAGTATGTGTGAGTACGCAAAAGAAATATATGCGTTACGTTTTGGAAGTTCGAAATATTACGATCCTCACTCGAAGTAGTATCACTTTATGGCCTTGATGCATAACCTAGTCGTTTTGGGCCTAAAGGAAGCGCTAGTTTTAAACGCCGCAAGAACGCTCGCTAGCGCATGCCGACCTGCGTGACGCCGTGCGGGATGCCGACGGGCACGACGGGGCGCAGGCGCTGGGCCTCCGCCAGCGCCGCTTGCAGGCGGGGCAGCGCGGGGGCGTCCTCCAGCGCGGGTGGCCGCGCGCCCACCACCGCGCGCAGCTCCTCCCGCACGCGCTCCTGCGCAAGGGCCAGCAACCACTCACACGCGCGCCCGCGACGCCCGCGAGGCCCAGGTAAAAGAGAGACCATTGTCATAATTTAAGGTACTACCACCTTTTTACCTACCCTCTTGCGGACGGGCCCGCACTCATTTCGTTACGCTACTGCATGGGGCGACATTCCTGCAAATTCATTGGCCCAGGGAAGCGTACTCCTCTTTAATTCCACCATTGAGAGTTTCATCGGAATGAAAATTTGTAACGCAGTCACGGCGAAATATTTTCGAAATGATATTCTGTTATATTGAAGTCATAAAAAAGAGGCATGCTTAAATATTTATTTAAATTCTGTTTCTAAATGGTGGCCGTTTTATTCTTTCTTTTAATGTTCAGTTTATTCAACAATTCTATTCAAAGGAAACACTATCTTTCTGCATTTTGTCAGTAAATCTTCTGTTACGAATTCACGAGCAAATGCATGGTAAGACTGCGACGAAGATCATATCTTAGATCTTTTATGCCAGGTCTACGTTTATGCAGTGTGAAAACTACTAGTAATCGATACGTCGAGGTGCATAGGAAGTTTTCTACAAAAGAAACCATTTCTGCATTTTCTCGTATGTCTGGCAGCATAAATCTTTGTCATTTAACATACGATTTTTTTGATCCGTAATTGCGCCTTACAAATATAGTGACTGTATTAAGATTTCCTTGTATTAAGATATCCAGATAAGTATACTTACTAGAAGACTGATCAATGGACATCTTAATACTTGGTTTGCAAACATGGCAGTCATTTTTCGTCCGCTTTTATAAAAAAGGTGCATAGTAGTTGACTATCATTACAAAAAATAGCTGCAACCATTTATTGAGAAATAATAAAAATGAAAAGTAATAAAATTTATATAATTAAAATAGATATTTTTTCAAACGCAAAATATTTTTCGTTTTGAAAGAAATGCACACATCGAACATCGGAGTATCGCCGTTGACACAATTCATAAAATCTTCAAGCATTACGCATTTACCAGGAATAATGAAAGGATTTCCCACGACTTGGATCTTCAGAAAACGTAGCGCGTGTCGTGCGCATTCAAATTCCCGCGGTCGCCGGCGCTGACGCACGGGCGTGCCGCATCGTGTCTCGCGGCGCGCGCGTACACAAGAAGACGTGACCGAGGACGCAGCAGTCCAGTCACGCCCGCAAATAAATACTCTGCAAGAACATGTCAGCGACTCTTTGCCACATGCTAGAGCGCGTAATACATGCGGGGGAGTAGCTATGCTTCGTGGCAGTTGGAAAGCGATTTCTAGGGTGGCACAAATAGAGGGCAAAATACCGTGGCTGAGAGTGCAACAAGTTATATTATTTTCCTTTCCGGAGAGTCCAGATGACATTGTTTATTGAATGAAAATAAAGAGTGAATCAAAATGTTTAGACATACTACTCCTTTGCGGCGTTTTTATCCTGTTTTGATAGTATTTTACATTGCAATAAATATTTCTCGTACCGACGAGTAAAACGTTTGTTATTTATATGAAATAGTAGTAGAATATGAACTTACTAATGAATTGGTGCAGGTATCTTTTTTATGGTAGAAACAATAAACGACCAAATAAAATGGTCGTAATAATGGGGCACAACTAATACTAACATTCATGTTTTAAAATTGAAATTTAAAAGTAACTTATTTGTAAGTGAGCCGATAAGTCACGATCTTTTAAAGTTTTATAGAATTACCCCTTCAATAAGGACATTGCGTGGAAGGCTGTTCGCACCCAGAAAAAACTCACAAGGCAAGGCCAACGTCAGACAAGAAAAATATAAACCACAATTTGCAGACACATCAGTACCAATCGCAATTAGCATTCCACTCCGAGACTGATGATCCCTGCAATAAAGTAATCACGCTCCTTCAACAAGCCACTTGGCACATGCTGCAAAGATATAACAGACGGAACTGTGACGGCATTAATTTTGATGGTGGTTGTGGGGGTGTTAGCTGTCTGCACAAAAAACGAAGACGGTAGCAAAGAAGCAGTGATGACGCCAAAGGCGGTAGGGTTGGTGGCGGTTCTGTTAACATTGGCGATGACGGTGGCGGTGGGGGTGGCGGTGGCAGACGCTAAGTTAGAAGCAGAAGCAGTAACATAAACACCGACAGAGGCTATTATAACAACGTAGAGGAGCCAGCGTTATCGAAGCTGGCAATAATTGTTTAACTGCGAGCTGAGATGGCTGAGGATGAGTGTACGCTGGCGGTGCTGTTAGCCATAGCAGCGCGGCGCGTGCACAGGCGCGCCGGGGTCGTTGATGCAGGTCACGCGTGGCGCTGGAGTTTCGCCGTGACGAGGAGCCGCCCCTCGACCTTCGCGAGGGAGGCGTGTTTACAATTCGTGGGTGGAACCAGTGCACCGAAGCGGGTAATGTGATGGGCAGATTCGGAGAAGAGGTCGAAGTCCTACCCACGCTTCGGGTTTTCGGAATTGGATTCTAAACTACGAGCCACTTAGCCCGCCACGCATGCGTCACTCACACAAAGTAAACTGGAAGAAAGTTAACAATTATTAACATCTCTAATTCCTCTGTTTGTTTCAAATCTACGATTCTGAAATATAATATGCAAGAAGTTTGAACATTGAATAATAAAGAGTATTTGAAGTTAATTCGTGAAAACGTTGAATGTTTTGTTTTTCTCATCCTCTACAGCGATGAAGTATGTAATCACTGATCACACTTCATGTGCATTAAATCCAGATCCTTGAACTATCTCACTACTTACACATCTTTGTTAGCATTTCTAACATAATGTAAAAATCTTTAACCAAATAATGAACTTTGCTTCGTTAATTCCGTTGAACACAAACCTGAACGTTCCAGGAATTTGAGACCAGCAGGTTGCAAGAAACACGAAAGAATGCATACGAAAGAAAAATATATGAACTTTCAAGCCCACTCGAGTGTGCCACGGCGCGGACGAGTCGCGAAGTTAATTCCCGCTTTAATCCTTTTGCTAACCTAGACTGGTTTGTACACTTCACCCAATAAAAAAGCAACCATCTGACCTACTGAAAACCAACCATGAAGAAAAATTAAACTAGTCTCTCAAAAGTGACTCAGTCGTTCTGCAGACAGTTGCAGCAGCAACGATTTTTTTATGGATTGTGGAATCCCGCAAACAAAACGGAGATTTTGGGTTGTGGTTCTAACTTGGTAGAGGGAGGCAAATCACCGTATACACCACATACGTGTTTAAATCCTTACTCATTATTTTTAAATTACTTAGGGAGCGAAGGTTGCCGCACGTAAAAGCACGTACAATGGTATTGAACAGAATGTTGGGCGTTCTGGAAGCGCTGACGACCAGGGCATCGTTTCCTTCCTCGTAACGGCTCCTCCAGAGCAGATGACATATTATTAGCTCTAAAGAGTATGACATCGAAGGCAATCTTAGAGCCGTACCTGCTCGTCGGGGTGCGTCGCCATGAGCAGCAGGAACCAGCGCAGGGACACGATGGTCGTGTCGAGTCCCGCGCCGAACAGGTCGGCCAGCAAGTAGTGGCGCTGCTCGTCGTCGAAGTGGGCGAGCGCCGCGGGCGCCGAGGCGGTCGCGCCGCGCAGGCGTCGCCGCTGCTCCGCCACGAACGCCCCCAGCACGTGCGCCTCCGCCTCCGCCTCGGACTCCGGCTCCCCGCTAGGGCCTGCGCCTGCGAAACACTCACTGCTTGGCGACCACTGTGCATTCCAAAGGACTACGTCAAACCCACACAGAGACTACATGACAATAAGTTCAAAATTGTTTAGTTAGATAGATAAGGATCATAAAATTGTGCTAAAATTAAATTCACAATCAAACAATATTAGGACGGAGTGTGAATTTTTAAAATTAAGAGCATCAGGGAATAGCCAAAGGGTGTTCAGGTTCTATGAGCGACGTCGGGCCGACACGTTCAAAATCGTATTTTCTTACGAATTATTGTTTACCAATCACTATTGAAATACGAAATCTAATATAAATTTAAAGTGTTTTTTCCAAAATGCAGTACTTCCAACGCATTACTGTTTGTTTTAGTTCATTTTCATGTTATTTAGTTAAGATAGTTAAGAATATGTTATCATTGTATAGTTAAGAATTAATACAACAAACGATGGGTAAAAAATTCACCTCTTCTCTTTTCTGAATAAGAATTATCTGCATTGCGATAACTATTGTTTTTATTTTAATTCTTCTTCTCCTTAAACGTTCTTGCAACCTAAAAGAGCCAAAGGAATTCGATGAAAGTACATTCGATATTATACAACATATAATGTCCTAGAACAGAAATCTTGTCGCAATTATAAATGTTACTTGTAAATCTGTTTTTTAAACAGACATTAGTAAAGACAGTTACTTAGGGCTTACATAGCGTGGTAAAAGTTCAATTTTTAGCACTAGTTCTAAAAGTGTGGCGATACTTAAATCTTAGATAAAAAAGATAAAACTGTGAATGTAACCAAGAAACCCAATTGTTTCACATCAGCTACTTCTGATCTTAATGTAACGTGGTACCTAAATAAGTGAAGATAAATTAAAATAATAAGGAAGACAAAAATGCCGGCTAAAATATAGTGTATTACACACGTGGTAAACCTGATTTTCTTTTGCTTTGCACGAGTGTGCCACGTGGCCTTTCCAGCTCGTAACCTTTCCTAGTCGCAAAATAAAAACCACTCGTATCATAAATAACTGTAATGGATCGTGAAAATACGAATTACACTCGCGCGATAGAGAGGAGGGGAGGCCTATCTTACCTTTCTCCGCCGATGCCTCCTCAGCCTCGGCGGCTTCCTGGGCGGCCATCGCGGCGTCCGCCATGCTAGCAAACAGCGCGTGCGACTCCGCCTGCCCGCCCTTGATGTACGCGATCATGCGGCGGTAGTGCGGGAGGAACCTGTGGGGCACGCTCGCGCGCAAACACTTCAAAACACCACTCTACGGCGAAAATTAGACGTCCCTCATTAATTCAAGTGGAAGCTTCAATCATGATCCCCCGCCAAAGAATATCAATTGCCAATCGTGGCACTCTGCAACACGGGGCGATGGGAAGTGTATAGAGTCCGACCTGCAATCTGACATAAAAAGATGATATTTTTCAACCTTTGATCGAGCGGTTAAACAGATAATGAAGTAAGAGGATTTGGGGATAAGTAGTGGACGATTGCGCATCTCCCACTTCATAACATCTGCTACTTCAACCGAGACGTACACATGTCAATATAGCTAGTGTGCTTTATGTTCCTGCCAACTGCGAGGTCCATAGTGAAATTAGCATTCGTTGAGAAGAAGAGAATAGTGCAACAGGAATTCACTGAAAAAATAAGGCGATTGTGTAAACTTCAAAATAAAGAAAGAGGAATGTTGATTTTTGGACGTGTTGTCATTCAGGTTGCTGTAAATAAACAAAAATTCTGCAGATGGGATGTGCTTCATCACTCGGCGTATAGCCCCAACGTAGCGTGATTTTCGTCCGTTTCTAGTATTGAAGAATTAGTTAGGAAATCAAGTTTCTAGAATAATGAGAATCTTTGAAGCAACGTTCAGGCTCATCTCACATCACAGACGCCTACTGGCGGGTCTTTGAAGAGGGATCAAAAAATCGCCGGCACACGCCTGAATGTTGACGGCGGTTATGTTGAAACGTAACAATGATTGAACATTACTTTTGGTAAAAATATTATATTTTTACTCGAATTTCCACAAACGCGTCGACACCGTGTGTATTGGAAGTCTTGAGAAACACGTGAAATCTATTGGAGGTGTCAATCAAACATGTCAAATCCATAATAATGAAGAAAAATCTCCATATAAATATTGTAAATGGTCATTTAAAAACTGAGCAATGTACAAAAATCAACGAGCAAGAATATACTACACAGAGTGGCTGTCCCTATAGTTTCAGCGCTCTTGGTGAAGATAAAACATACGAGTGGCGGTGTAACCGTCCGTAACCAACGCCAAACGTTATGCTACAACATTTTGTTTCCCAGAGGGCGCTACTTTGATTGTAAAGGACGACTTCAATTTGCTTCAAAGATGGAGGTGCTTCAGCCATTCTATATAGTGTATTCTAGCTCGTTGACAAAAATATACTTTGGACAAAAACTACTGAAAAAATAATAGAAAGGTAAACATTTTACACATTGCCTGGACGAAGAAAGAGGGAGAAATGTACCACCAATGAAATTGGAATGGGCTTTGGAAGAACTTTAATATTTTCCACAATAACAAGATACTTCCACATCAAACACTGTCGTAAATCTTTCAGTGAGTAACTCTGCATTGTAGGGAAATGTGATAATAATCCTAATATTAGAAGTAAAAGGCTCTTGTATATGCAGCTTCGACAGCAGTTAGAAGTCGCTTATAATTCAAGTCGAGGGACGTTTGGGAGTAAGGGTCAATTTTCGCAGAGACGCCCTGATTCATCCCATTCGTGGCGCTGTTCGCAAGCTCAGCGTAGACGCCGCCTTATGGAGTCTGCACCGGCGTCTGCCCGTGAGTCATTGTGCGGGCGTCACTTCGTAAGGCTTCGTCATATCCTCTTCGGCTGCCGTGAATGATCTGCCAGCGACCCCATCCGGCGGCGCAACGTGTTAGGAATTGCCAGCAAATTAGTCTGGCGACCAAGACTAACTTCAGACAAAGGCATTGATTACTACGTAACGGATATCAAACGCAACAACCAAGGGGATATAGAATACTCTTGAGAAAGTATTAGTGATCAGTTATGAAATACTACTGTCTGAATTTTTTGTCATCAAAAGGAGTCATTTTTACATCCTAAAAGGGTTTTGTTTTCGCGTAAAAGACGAAATGTTGGCCCCAGCGAGATCAATTGCAACAAATCAGAGCACTATTCCGCTTACAAATTTCAACTTTATTAATTATTAAGTAATTATTTTACTATGAAAAAGGCCTATGGCCTATAGTATCACCGTTGTCGCAACCAACAAAAAATAGACGAAAATAATTATTTTTTAACGAATTGATAGGATGTAGTATTTCTAACAATCTTGACTTCTTCATGAATTAAAATTATTATACTAATCGTGAAGATAAGAGTAATGGAAATTAATATAATTTCCTGACCTTCGTAAACGAATTTATTTAAACTCAAAAGAAGTAGGTCCTTAATAAGTTGTTAATATTTTCATTGCCTATTGTTTGGTAATCACAAAGTCCAAAATGTCATTATTCAGTAAATCGTGCAGAGAAAGCGTAACTGAGAACAAGTATTCACTGGAAATGAATGGATGAAACCAGATCGGTATAAGAGACATTTTATAAGTTCTCAGAAAAACGTTTTTATTTTAGGCTACATTTCAGTGGTAATGTATTTTCGTGGTTTTAATGAACTAATTAAATTTCGTGATTTTAATGATGAAACAAAGCACGACTACTTTTCAGTAATATTGACTTAAACAGATTTCTCAGAATTAATAAAATGCCACTTCAATTGTGCCTAGTAAGCGCTTGCTTTCACCTGAGCAGCGGGAGGAAGTTGATGGCGCCGGCGACGCCGATGAGCTTGGTGCCCTCCTCCTGCGTGTGCAGCAGCCAGCGCCACGTGGGGTCGTCCTCGCCCCACTCGCGCCCGAACACCACGCTGCTCACCACGTTGCCCACGTGGTGCAGCAGCAGCGGCGCCGGGTCCACTGCCGCGCCTGCGCACCCGCACACAATTTTCATTGTCCGAATGTGGGTCGGATTATCTGCGCGTTATCTACTAAAGTGTAGTGCATGATATATCCCAGATTCTACGCTGGACCGACAGCGGATACCAACCTACAGTAGGTAGTTGGCGGTAGGTCTCCCTCAATGAGCTCAACTCGTTCATTATACATTTGCAGACGGCACAATTAGGAACTACTGCTGTCTTGAAAGTGTGGGCCCGATAACATATCCCAGAATGCACGAATAGTGTCGATGTGAAAGAGCACTGATCAATGCTCAAGCCAGCTGAGACAGTCCGGGAAAAATGTTTGTTTTGTTTTTATTGTTTCTGTGATATCTATGGAAAAATCAAATCCACTTCAGTGTGCGAGAGTGCGTTATGGCAGTAAATTAATTATAAATATTTTATCCTGGTAATATTTAATAAAAAAATCGTTGCAATGAAAAGGAAAAAGTTATTAATACCATTAGAACGATATATGAACTCAGCTGCAATGCAATACAAAATGTCATCGACAACACACACAATTCATAAAAGGCACGGAAAGTACTTTTTATTTCTCCTTTGCACCTATCTAGACACAATAGTTATGTTCTTGCCCGCTTCTCCTCTGCCGTACTCTGCAACGTGCGGACCTGTATTCCGTTTACCGTCATCTATATCATATCTAATCGATAAGTGTACTGTAGACGTGCGATTCTCATGACCTCATGTAAACCGCCCCGAGCCGAGTCAGGGGCCGCCACCACAGCCGCCGTCACCGTTTCCGCCCTCATCTTCCCCCTCCCCCGGCGGAGTGCTAGTGTCGCATGTGTGCAGTCATCTCGCCGCCTCTTCCCCAGCTGCTTCTGCGCCATCCATCGGACGGTGGGACGGTGCCTGGTGCTCGCGATACGAAACACATTTTTGTTGAAAGCACTCCCATAAGCATGGAGCCACTGCGGAAAACGTTCCTGGCGCACTTTATCTTCCATATTGCCATTGCACACAGCTGGGACAAGCCCTAAACCCCACACTTGTCTACAAATGCGTGAGAGTGTAGTGCATTAGATTTAGAGCTCACAGAGTGCTCTAAACTTTATTTCGGCACCGTTACTTACCACACTACTAATTTTATTGTCACTATAGACATTTCTCCATTATTGGTTAATTTTATCTTGTACTCTAAAAATGCTATTAGCTCTAAGCAACTTAGAGAAAGAAGGTCATAATATTTATTTGTGTAGCGGTTTCCTACTGTCACTACTTTGTGAACGTTTTTTCAAACGTTCACGTGAATTCAAACGTTTTTTGCGGGTATCCATGCTTGGAAACTGTGAAATGAATATTTGTTGGTATTATTAAGAGAAAACTGATGTTATTGATTTCTAAAGTGAAACTCCTTTTCTCGCAGTTGAGTAAATAGACACGTTGAGTTAAAAGCGCAACGCTAATTTTCTGGTTAAACTACGCATTGGAAACAAAAATCGCTCCTGACCCGTTTTATATGACTTGACGAGACCTACAAAATGCAAGAAAACTGCAACTTGATACGTTCCAAAAGCACCGAGAAATTAATTTGCGAACTTTGACGTGTTGCTCCCTCCGCTGGCCGCTGTCTTCGTGGAGCGCCAGTGTCAAGGATTTCAATTTTTTCTGCTCCTGAGTTATTAACAATGCCGGAACCATTGTCTAAGCGCAACAGAGAGTATCGTAAAAGTCGTTATATCTTCTTCTTCGTATTTTAATGCCATACACTGATTAGTGCGTAAACTAGGTTCCAGAAGTCCCTAGCGTCTTCTTGTGAGACTTATCTTAAGTAAGTATACCTAGGGGTTTGCCTAAGGGCTCTAGTGCGCCAAGTGTGATTGGAATACCAGATAGCGCAGGCCCAGATACAATATCCACAATGTTTTTCAGTAATTCTATGGACCACGACATGATAACCACTAATACCATCAAAGCTGGTCCTCCGATCTACAGAAGGAGTATTTTTATCCTGTACCTTCGAAGTGGTGCCTCACCTGCGTGGTGTCGGAGGCTGCTTGCGAGGGCGGCGGCGCCGGCGGCGATGCGTCGCTCGAGGCGGTCGCGGCGCGCGCCCACCCGCACCATGCCCAGCGCGCGCAGGCAGCCCGCCACGAAGCGCCTCTGCTCGCGCCACAGCTCCCCCTCGGCGCAGATGATGCCTACGCACACCGCACACCACTGCTTCCCTCCTCGGAGAGCGGGGCAACAGCAGCAGGAGGGCAGGGAAGTGTTCTCGGAAGGTTTGGGCTTGATTGATTCGTGTTTCAGGGCACGTCAACTGCTATTCTCATTAATCCCGTTCGCGTAGCGCATGTTTTTATCACGAGAGGTGAGTAATTTTGTAGCTCCGCTGGAAAGCGAGAGCTGACGCCGATTTACACGTCGATTGAGTGATTGATCCATGCTTCCGGAAGCGTCAACTGCTAAGATCATTAGTTCCGTAACTGTGGATTAATTTTATTGTTATCGTGGGAGTTGTCGGTGATCTTCCCCAGCTGGATGGCGAGATCCAGTGCCAACTTACACGTCGGCTTGCGGGGTTTCCCCCAATCAGGTAACTCCAGTGTCTCTCATTTCCCCTCCAAGAAACTCCATATCTCCCACAAGCGAAGCACCTCGCCCCGCCGGGACATGCTCTTAACTCCCGACCAGTCTCCCGGCATGTGGGGTAGTGTAAGGGGTGTAAGTGAAAGTGAGTGTCAGGGATAAGGATAGGACAAGGAAGAGAAAGGAAATATCGCGCGCGGTCCGTGGCCCCTTTGTTAGTCTCCGATATTTGCCTTATGTTAACCGTCGAAACGACGGAAAACTACCCGTAAAAGCAGCCGGCCGGTAGAAATCGACTACACACAGCGATTGAATTCGACCTAGATATCTAACTACTAACAACAATCCTGCCATTGACGTGACTCGAATCGAAAGTCTTGGTTTACTGTACTAAACACGTTACGTGAACAGAATGGATGATTACCATACCTCTTTCTAAATATATCTTTTGTTGAAAATTTTCCTGTTTTTAATTTGTTCTACTGCTCATTAACTTATCTTCAAACCTCACTTTGTTGCAATGGTCACTGAAAAAAATACAGTTCTTTCTAATCCTATCAGAAAACCTAAGCACTAAGTTCCACAAATTTGAAGTAAGTGAACAGTCTCGTTTAAATAATTCTTGGTCAGTGAAACTGCTTGAAGCGGTGGCCCCTTCTCGTGTTGTTCCCTCAAGCATTACATTATGCATGTACTTTGGGCAAGGATGCAAAATGCTTTTATCACGTTAACTAGGACTATATCGATTACACGACTGTCGATATCGGTATCGGTAGCTCCCTGCCCTGACGCACGGCCAATGAATAGCGTTTAAAACACACGTGACTGAAGGCAGCAAATTAAGTCCCACATGTGCGTTTTCACCATGTCGTTGTAACTGGACTTCTGATGTTGCCGTCTATCCCGACTCATCTTTATTCCATCTGTAATCACCTACTCTATATCATTCATATCTCGTAATAAGCTTTCCATTTTATGTGTAAGGCGAAGGAAAAACACCTCTGTATATCTCCAGCCGAGGAAAGGGGGAAAACAAAAGGGTTTAAGATTGCTCGCTCGCAAGTAGTCTTAACTCAGCACAATAAAGCGGGATCAACACAGAAGTGTCGATACATGAAAGCTGATGCAAATCGCATTGTGGGCAGGGAGGCGAGAGGCGAGGAGCGGCGCCGGTTCCGGTGGCGGTGGCGGCCGCGTGCCCCGTTGGCACACATCCACACGCCGCGTGCGCTCGCGCGCGCGTCAAGGCCGCGCAAGGACACGCGCACCACGCCGCGCCGCGCCGCGCCGCGCCACCCCCGCGGACAGACGCTCTCGAAATACCTCCGGCCGCGGGGGCGTGGCCGCAGCGACGCACGACGAGCCCACGCAGATTGGGATCGTCTCAGGAGGAATAAATCACATTTTAAAGTTATTCTTCTGCTTTTTTTATTATTTGCTATATTCATTATTTTTTATTTACTAACTTGTGTATTTTTAATTTTGTTTATCATCTGTATTCATTCAAAATAAATTTACTCGTAGAGGCACAACAATTACAAACATTATTGAGGCCCAAATCTACTGAGACGATTAAAGCCATAATGATGTGAAGAAAAGAGAAGAAACAAGGAATGGAAAACTGTCCTGGATAAAACCTACCAAGAGTTCATTTTGTCCATCACAAATTCTACATGGACAGACGGTGAAAGATGACTACGTTGTGCGCTAGCAATTACGCCCCAGGCCCCTACAATTTTTAGTTAAACATTAGAGCAATTAATGAGCTCTTGTCTATTTTTAATTACGATATGGACACTATTTGCATTTAAGGTATTAATATTTTAAAGGAGGACGGGACAAAAAATAGTGTAAACGTTTGGTTGTATAGTAATGTCCTTGATAACATAGCCATGATGAACTTTTGTTTTTTTTTATTTTCACTTTAATTCGGATGCTGGATCATCTGACGGCGTTATAAAAAATTCTATCTCAGTGTCTATACATATAAACAGTGCAGACCTCTCAGGATATTCAAAACATGAACGTATGAATAAGCCAGATGCAGTTACAAGAAAAAACTGATTGTATAACGTTTTAGTTTTAAAAGATTTCTAAGTGTGATTTTGAAAGTAATAGAATATATTAACGTCTCACGTTACGCCATAATGAGTTATGAGTAAAGGGAAACATGTCACACAATCTTAATAAGTATCTTGAGGCAAATGATTTTCGAAGATATATTACTTTGCGAACAACATAGTTCAAAATAGTTACTAAAAGCACGCCAAAACTTCCCTTAGCAATATCTATATTTGTTTGAAAGAAAGTAGTACAGTAAAAAAAGTAAATACTGTTATTGTGATATGTAACTCTAATGTCGATATTATAAGTGTAGAGTGCTGTTCATTTAGTTGATCTGTTTTATAATTATTATAAGTATAATCCGGTCATCGATTAAGCTTTGTATTCTCATTGCGAAGGAAAGTTAATATTAGCAAAGGAATTGGGCGAAATTGGGAGTTGTTAAAACACAGAACGGCGTATGTGTTTCTAAAATACACGGGAATAGCAAGAGATCTCCTTCCTGTCTATGAATTAAATCGAACTGAAGTGAATAATTTTTAATTTTGCGGGGTATGATTTGTTTTTTCTTCCTATCATTAAAAATGACTGATTTCGATAAAGCTTTTACAATTTCCTAAATGCACAATCTTCCAAAATAATTTTTCACTGGACCGCAACATGAATATTAACATTTTCTCAAAAAGTTAACTTTAGTGGTAAACATTCCCATCCAACTGTAACCAGGTTGAACTTTACATTTCGTTTAATGATGAAAAATACCACCGATTCACTATTACTGCATCATTACAAAATCACTACAACACCATCACCACAAAACATTCACATATAATACACGTACATTATTTTACAACACCTTGCCAGATGACATTAAACGATTAAATTCGATACTAAAGTTTAAGTCCCAAGTAAAATCTTTTCTGCTGCACAACTGTTTCAATACAATTAGAGACTATACCGAGCATCCAAAAGGAAAATTATATTAATTTCAACAATGACATTTAATGTATTATTTACCATTTGGATTGTATAATTTTAAAGAACCTGTAACAAGTATTGTACTTCAGTTTCTGAGTCAGTGACCCCCCATCTTGATCAAGTTTTCGTCCAGTTTCCCTGATCCTCGAGCAAATGCTGAGATGGACCCTCGTTTTCCTTCTGGACATAAATGTAACTTCAAATTAACTTCTTCCCATATCACTTCACACACAGCTTTTAACTGTTTTTGTCGTAAATAAATGAATATAAAAAAAATTACTGATTGTTACCAAAAAAGGAGGTCGGTGAAAAACAATGTACAAAGGAGAAAGAAAAAGCAATGATTATTATTGGAGAATACATTTGGAACAATCAAGAAACTGTACCTGAGGGATACATAGGAGAGAAAGAAAGAAAATAACAAAAAACAGGAAACGCATCTCAATAGTTTTTACATCGAATGATGGTTAGCGGATGGTTTGCGGCTTGAGGACAATAACTGATTACTTTTCCAGAGTTCTCGAGTTAGCTGACTAATGAAGTAAAGAGCTAATGATGACTGTATACAGTTTCGCAGAGGAATGGAGAAATCGAAATTACACGCCGCGAACCAACTGTACTTTCCGAAAGCTACACATTAAATAGCCGCAACTAGAACTCCTGCACTCAAAGTGGAAAAGTTAGCGCGCAGTTCATTGCGGGTCATTCGCAGAGGCCCGTGCCAGATCGCAACGGAGTCTCCCAATAAAAGCCAACGCCTTACGAAACCCATCTGGCTGCGCCGTGACATCATCGGCTCCTCGCATCGCAGGGGAACCCGCTAGCGCTGTGCGGCGTGCGCGGGTCCAGGAGCACTGGACGGAAGAGGAAGGCTGCCGCGGGACCAGTTTTTGCGGCCGCAGGTGCGGCGGCGGCGGTGGCGAGCGAACGTGGGCTATTAATAGCGGACGGCCGCCATCACCGCCGCCGTCGTCCAAGGCCTGCCACAAGGCGCTGTTCCCCACCTCGCCTCATCGAGGCCGGCGGCCGGAATGGAACGGTAAGCAAACAAGGGACGGGACGGGACGGGACGGGAGGCAAGGGGCGACACGGGACAGGACGGGAGGCAAAGGGCGGCACGGGACAGGACGGGAGGGGCAAGGGACGGATGGGACTTGAAGTGCGTGGCAGACATGCAGGTACCGCATCGGGCATAACGGGCTTAGCAGCCGATGCACGCAGCGAAACCAAGGCTTATCTCTCTAATATGGCGCTGAGACTTGATGGTTGAGGGCTACCATTTCCATATTACTATTACTATTATTATTATTATTATTAATACTATTACTATTATTATTATTATTATTAATACTATTACTATTATTATTATTAATACTATTACTATTATTATTATTAATACTATTACTATTATTATTATTATTAATACTATTACTATTATTATTATTATTTATACTATTATTATTATTATTATTATTATCCTCACGTAGTATTTGGGTCCGTTCGTCCGAGCGTCACTCACTGGTAAGACCTCTTGCCGTCGACCAACAGACATGTGACTTACCCCTCAATG